TGAGACACTCGGGACAGAAACTGGGGCGTCTCGGAGAGGGGGAGGAGGGGGGCAGACCGCCTACGTCGGCGCCCCCGCTCCGGGCTGCGACTCCAGACGCGGCGAAGTGAAAGGGGAGAAAAGAAAGGGAGAGGAGGGCGAGACTGCCGGGGGGCGGCCGGCTCCGAGGTGTTAAACATTTTTGTTTGCCTCTGACTTGTGGGGACCCAGGGCCGCGTCTCCGCAGCGCTTCGCCGGGGTGGAAGGTGTCCGGGGGTCGGGGTTCTTAGCAACCACTCCAGGCTGGGGGACTTGGTGGGGGGCGGGGGAGGGCGGGGAGCGGGCACGGTGGCCGCAAAGTAAGACTCCCGCAAGAGACATCCCCCGCCCCCCCCGGGACACAAAACATCGCCGGGACCCCGCGCCCAGGCTCCGCGGGGAGGATCCTGAAACTGTCCCCCGGGGCATTTCAGCAGCTCCGGGATCCTGCGGCATTTGAAGAATTCTCTCTGGAGCCCCGGAGCAAAGGTGCCTGCCGGGGACCAACTCCCGGGGTCCCCCTCGCTCCGCCGGCCGCCTCCTCCAGAGCCCTCACTCACACACACACACGCACACGCACGCACACACACACACACACACACACACACACACACACACACACACTCTCGCACGCCACCCCGGGCGCGCCGGCTCCGAGCGGCGGCGTGCAGGACTGGTGGGTGTTCTCCAGCCCCGAAGCGTCGCCCCCAGCCCCCGCCCCTGGCCCTACCCCTCCCGCTTCTACGCAAATAAGAACTCGGCGATTCCCCTCCTGCCTCTTTGATTTCGGGCACCTCCGACAGATAATTGGGAAGGGTTTCCAGAAGGTGGGAAATGTCACCTGATTCACACTGAACTTTTAAAAGCTCCCCACCCCCAAAGAGCCGGCACACCCTCGGTCGCGGCCGCCCTCCCACAGCCCCACACACTGGGAGACCGCCCACCTCAAACCTTAAGACCCCCGTCTAGATTTAAAGCGCGGCTGCGCCCGGCTTCTGACGTCCATTGAATCGCGCGGGCGGCCGGTGGCGAGCGCGGGGCTGCGCCAGGATCGCTGCGCCCTCCGCCGCTCGCCTCTGCGACGCGCGCCGCTCGCCCGAGCCACCCGCCGCCGCCGCGCTCCTCGTCCTGCGCCTGCCCCAGGATGGTCTGCGCCAGGCACCAGCCCGGCGGGCTCTGCCTCCTGCTGCTGCTACTCTGCCAGTTCATGGAGGACCGCAGCGCCCAGGGTGAGTGGAAGGGGATGCGCCCGGAGGCTCGGCTGGGGCAGGGGTTCTACTTTTCTGTCCTCTCCACTTGGTCTGTTCTGACCGACGCGGCTCTCTCGGAAGATGTTAGAGCCACTCGGCTACTCCGGGAGAAAGGGGGAAGGGGGAAAAGGACCGAAACAGTGACACTTTAGGGTAGAGAGCTGAGTTTAGAGCTGGGTTATCCTCCAAGGAAAGGGCGTGAGTGGGTGACCTGGAACCTCAGTAGTTAGGGGTAGATAGATGCTCCAAGTTCTGGTCATAATGACTTTAGATGTTATCTCCCCTGGTTGGCTCGGGAGAAGGGCGAGCATCCGTAGCCTGGAGAGTGCAGTCGACCTACTAACAATCTAACCTATCTTCCTTCCATATCTTTTGGTGACTTTTTTTTAAAAAAAAAAAATGACTTGGGGTGGGGGATGGGAGATACCGAATTTTCTTGGGTGGCTGGGGGACGTGGTTTCAGAAACTTTGCCCAAACTTGGAAATGTGGGTACTGAAATTTTTAGAGGGAGGTAGTGTTGGTGGATGCTCCTTCCACCCCTCTCCCTAAGCCCCGCGAAAGAGGAGAAGAAAAAGGACAAGCCAAATTATTAGCCCGAAGTCTTTTAAGTACTTTACAGTTTTCTCCACTTTGGCTCATTCGTCTGTTAACTTTCTGTGAAACAATAAGCAGCCCACGCGCGATTTAAATCCTGACGTGGAGTAAAGAGCAAATTTCTGAAGTTTATCTTCTAAATTTTTTTAATGGATTTATTTTATTACAATTAGTCTCCGGGCAAGATTTTTTTTTAATAGTGGTGATCGTGCAGCTTGCGCCCCAGTTGCTGGAGTCACTTTGGTGGCTCATGAGAAGTCTTCTTGTCCAAAGTCCGAACCCAGAAAGAGGGCTAGGGGAAGAAACTATTTGCAAAGAGTTCTTGGTAGACATGAGGTAGGTATATGTGGCCCGGTGGACACCTCCCCCCTTTCACACGGCTGCTTTCCTGTTCGAGCCCTAAGGTTTTGTGTGTTGTAAGCTGCCCTCCCGGGCACTGGCCCTAGCCGTCTGCCCAACTCTAGGCTGGGCAGCCCGCCTTTCTGATAGGGGCGCTGCCTGGGTGCAGGGACGTGGGCGCCAGGGAAAGCAGCCCTCGGAGATTTCGAAAGATCGTGGTGGCTGCGGGCGTGCTCCGGGCTGGCCGATTGCAAAACGGGCCCGTCGGGCGGGCGGGCGGGCTGCGCCTCGAGGCCGCACAGGGCAGATCCCGGCTTGGGCCCGGCTGCTTTTTTGCTTTCATTTTTTCACTAGTGTCTTCTGCTTGATCTGTTTCTGAAGGTTCATATTCAGTTCTCCCTACACCCCCCCCCCGCCGCCTCGCTCCCTCCTTCCCTCCCTTCCACGTCTCCCCTCTCTCTACTTTCTTAACCCCTGTCACAAATAATTCTCTTGCCGCCTACATGAAACCAACATGTAAAAACATCCGTCGCATCCTGTTTTTGTCAGGTTCTTTAATCTGCTCTTCCAGTCGCTGCAGGTTATGAAATGGGACGAATAAAAGTAAACAGTCTAGTAAAAGTCAATGCAAGCTGCACGTGTTGTGTCTGGGTCACTGGTAACTGACATTGATATGGCTGGGGCGCTGCGGCGGCTGCTCTAGCCCACCTCCCACCTCGGTGATGGGTCTTTCCCCTCTCTCCGTTTGGAGTCCCA